GAGAGAGAGAGAGAGCGGGAGGGAGGAGTAGTAAAAAGAGGGAAAGGCAATTTATTGATACTCCGAAATGTAGATTCCTCGAGAGTACACGTGAGGAATAATAATAATTTCACATGCACACGAGCTCGTATCGGCCGCGCTCGATCAAAATGGGAGTTTCGGGGGGGGGGGGGCTATCGGTATATTAATTCGCGCAGTATATATAGCCGTATACGTAGCTTGAATTATTTAGCTTCTCCGACGTGGCGGAGTTCGGTTCCCACCGAAAGCGAACGTTCGAATTTTCCCCCAGATGACTCGACGATGACCGTTCTTTCGCGACTACCGTAAATCAGGTCGATTGTCTTCCAAGGAGTGTCTTCCGCACGGCTTCCCCGTCGTCTTCCCCGCGAGCAATCTCTTCTCCGTGCCCGATTAGATCGGGCATCGCCAGGAATCACCAGATCTGGTAAGACGATGAACACGAGCGAGCGGGAGCTCGAGATTAGCTAAGCTCGGCTAAGCCGCATTTAATTTGAAAGAATTATCCGAGGAAATTATCCGAGGGAATCACGGATCCGGATTCACGGGAGAATTAAAGATTTATTAGAAAAGTCAGAATCTACATTCCGACGCGATGCGTGGGAATAATAAAATCAAGATGTATAAGTCTGAGATGTATTAAATGATCGCCGGCCGTTTTGTCCCTTTTCTCAATGTGAAATTAGAAGATCTCGTAGCCAGAGAAACATTAGAATTTATAAAAGTTGAATGTTGTTAAAGTGAAGAACGTGAGTGTATTAAGAGCGAGTTCTTTTAGAAAAGAAGAAACGAGAACGAGAAGAAAAGCGCGGAGTAGAGAAGTAATCGTTAGAAGAAATCAAAGTCTAGAGAAGTAACGAATCCGACCGATTCTCCGATCCTGTCGTTAATCAGGCAGGTGCACCGAGGACCGGAAGGAGATTCTCCGAAACGTCTCTCGAAAACGAACAATCCGTCCTCGACGGATCAAAGAACCTGCTCGGGGGATTCTAGGACTCGCCGCCCCTCTCCCCCCCCCCCCCACGGCCATCGTCGAGCGTAGATTTCCGCCGGTCTCGAGAGAGAGATCCCGGACAAGCCGTCGTTCGATGACAAACGTACAAGATTTGGTGCCTACCCAGCGTGCGTGAGCGGATCCTCGGGCACGAGGGCGGTGCGCCGAGGAGATCGTCCTCGACCACGACGATCGCGACGACGACGACGACGACGACAACGACGACGGCGACGACGACGACAACGACGACGACGGTAACGATGCTGCGTTCGCCGGCGCGTGGCGCTGTCACCGTCCTACGGGAGCCCTCCTCCGCTTCCGCATCCGTTTCCGCCGCGGCGGCAGCGGCGGCGGCGGCCGCGGTGGCGTCCTCGGCCACCACCGTCTCGGCGCCGTCGACGCCGGTGCACCACGGCGGCGTCGGTACCGGCGCCGGTAGCTCGAGCAGCGCCTCCTCCTCGCGTCTCTCCCTGCTCGACACCTGCCACAGGAAGATCAGGCTCTTCGGCGAGCTAGTCGCGTGAGTTTCCTGTCCTCTCCGCCCTTCTCACCCCCCCCTCCCTCTCTCTTCCCTCCCTCCTGCAGACGATATCCCATGCAGACGTGTAGATATGTGCATATGTGCGTGCCGTAATGTCAAGTTGGCCCGGTGTGTAATTAAAAATAAAAGAAAAAAAAAAGCGCATCTTCTCTACGAGATGAGAGAAAATTCGAGGGTCCATAACAGATCAATGCCGCATCAATGCCCGAGGCATCGATAGCGTCATGGACCGAGTATTATTCGTACGAGATGACTGTTGTCACGCGATTAGAGACAAACGTCATGGACGATGTTGAAATTGTTAAGCGTATATCTACGTCAGTTCTTTTTTTTTCTTTTTTTTCTTCTACGGAGATGCAGCTTCTTTCCAGGAGCATGTGTGCTTTCTAGAGAGAGATTTGTGCGCGCTTTGGCTCGTGTAGACGTGGCTGAACATCGCTGCTATCGTATTGCATGTAATTGCATTTTTCACTGACAGGAAGCTGAATGTGCGACGCGGCTGCCGCATACTGAGCAAGCTCGATTCGAAAACAGTACTGGGAAACCAGTTGTTATGTTTAGCTCTCGCGCGCGCAGAGACAAGAACACTCCTCTGTGTGCTTAGCTGCGTATTCTTGTGCGGCTCACATTAATTGGAACTATCGTTTTCTTTCTTGATATTTATTATATTATCAAGTTGGTGCAAAAGATTTGTTTTGTTCTCTTACTTTTGAATACGTCACTTTTCCGAGTATTTCGGAAGTGCAATTGAAAAATTTCTTTTCTAAATTAGAAAAAAAACATTGTGATAAAAATTACTTTAAATTATATATATATATATATATATATATATATATATATATATATATT